GTCTCTCATTTGCCACACATTTCAGTCCTACCATTCTGCTTGGAAGCTATTTAATCATATACAGAAGAGAGTTGTTATAATGGTATTGGTGGTTTGGAATAAGGGCTATTTGTCTGACAGAGGAAAGGCTGCTGTGTTGAACAACAGCATGTTGTCTGAAGGGGGAGGATGGGCAGATAAACATATTCTGGTAAGACAGTGGCTTCTTGATAATTAGCTTGAACGTTGAACCTCAGTATTGTTCCACCATCTATGTGTTTTGTCATTCCAAAAACATTTGATTGTTCTGGATTTGTCATTCATTTGTGAGTTTATTGATAAACTCTGTTTTAAAAGGTTTTGGACAGAAAAAGTTCCACTTAGTTGTGTGGTTCTTCGTCAGACCACTAGAGGGCAGCCTAAACTCACACTTGATGCATTTTTATGTATAAGTGCTTATTTTGGTCTCAAATGTGTCTTTGACTTCATCTTTGTAATGCTGGTAAATTGTTATTATATTATTACACTGTTATTATACAGTTATTACAACCTTAAGCTGTAATAGACACTTTTTCTGTATTAGACCTTGAAATAAGAGTAGCAACCACATTTAACTACTAAAATTGTTCAAATGTTTGTTTGTTTTTTCTTCATTTTGAACATTTTATCTATTGTTTTATAATATCAAACATAACAAAATTAAAAAGCGTGTTTAATTTTGCTGCTAATCCAGTAAACTTCTATAAAACACGGTTATGGTGAAATTTATAGTTGTTATTGTTATGGTTACTTATTTTTTAGTACTTTATTTTATGAAGATTATTCTGCTCAGAGTCATTGATTAAATGTCTGTGTATGCCGAATGCCTGATTTTTCTCACCATTCGTTTTGCGTTCTCTCTCTCCTTGTCAGATGTGTGTAACAGCACTGATCTTCCTGAGGTGGAAATCATCAGTTTGCTTGAGGAGCAGTTGCCTCATTATAAGCTGAGAGCTGACACTATATACGGCTATGACCACGACGACTGGCTCCACACGCCTCTCATCTCACCCGACGTCAGCCTCGACCTGACCACTGAACAGATCGAGGAGACCCTCAAATATTTCCGTAAGCACAGAATCACTCGCTCTCATCCTGCTCCTCTACTTTTCTCGCTTTCATTCATTGCATTTCCTGCCTCTCTTTCCTGACACTCATGAAGTTGTAACTTGTTTATTTGGAAATATGTGTGTTTTATGCTCAAGTTAAATCAGAAGATTATTTTTATGATCTTATTTTCCATGTGTATATATGAAAGGTTCATGTGAGACTTATGATACTTAAGATGGAATTTGATTAATACATGTACAGTTGTTCATATGTGGCAGCTGTGTTTAGTAGCCACAACACTAGGTCGTATTGCCAGGCAACTGTCCATCACTGCTGGTCATTGGCTGAGTCTCCTGTCACTCACGACGCCAGTGTTTTATGGGAGCAGGTGATAAGTCTGTTAGATCAGTTCCTTTTGCCATGATCTGTCCTTGAGTTTGATTGAGCACTGAGGTCGTCACCATTTGACCACATGCAAAACTTTCATTTTATTCAGTATTTAACAGACAGATCTGCAGTTGACCTTACATCCTGCCAGACTCTTAACCACTGTGTTGAAAACGTAAAATGACTGCAGTCAACAATGTAGAGATCATGGTTTGGCCTCCCTGGAAAATTATTTTACATAGATATGCAAATGTGTTCCAAAATGTCCAGTGCTATAAATAGAGTGGAGATAAAAAGAATATTCTGTTCCCTTGTATTTATTTATGATTGATTATAATATTCTTTCTTGTTTTATTCAGACATTATAAATGCTGTTTTTATAGCTGTCTTTTAGGGTACAATAAATAATTTACAAAGTAAATAACTTACAAAGTAATTTGAAAACTTTCTGCGAGGCGTCTCTTTCTCTCTCAAAATGCGCAAATGGCTTCAGATCACCACATCGCGTCTGCACTTACATACACTCTAAAAAAAAATGATTCAGGGGACCTGTTACCACAACTTAAATAAATGCATGGTTGCAAGTTAAAAATTCTAATTTAATAATTGAATTAAACCTTTTAAATTGCAAACATTATTTTGTTGAGTTCAGTTGACATAATAATGTTGATCTTAATATTGTGTGTAATTTAAACTCAAATTTCTGTTAATTGAATTTTGTTAAAAATGAAGTTGCAGTAACTCAAAAAACTTGTCTTGTTAACTTTGGAATTTGGGTAGTAGATTTCTAGTTCCCAGCATGCTTTCATAGGACTGGATAAGGAGAGTAAATGTTGAAATTAAATGTTATTTTATGTGTTTTTTTTTTTAGTGAAGGGAAATGATGTTATGTTTGACATTTAAAAAAGTTTCTGTTATGTTGACGTTTTTATGGTTACCATTGTGCTGAAGAGTAGAACACATGAAGAAAAAAATCAGGAAGGGGGCCAACACTTTTTCACACCACTGTAACATCTTTCTTGTTCATTATACATGCTAAATAACCGTTAGCTTGTGCTATGATAGCTGTGGATTTGAACTGAAAAAAAGATTATATAAATTGGTTCCAGACTGACAAATCCATTAGTTGGAGCAACTTAATTTCAGTAATTAACTTAAAAATATGTTTATGTTACAAATGATTAAGTTCTTCTAACTTGATGTAGTTTGTTGGTTGGACATAAATTCATTAGAGGTTGTCATAACTCAAAAAAAATAATGCAAACTGTTGTGTTTATTTATTTATTTATTTCCTTTTATTTATTTATTAGCAAACACATTATTTTTATAGAGTGTACAGCTTACGAAATCAAGCTTGTGCTGTGTGTAAGCTATTGTGCAGCAATTGCTCCATTGTAAAAACAAAAATGCACTGCATGATCAAACATTTAGGTGAGATAATTATATATTTTTTAAAATTGTCAAAAAAAAAGTTTTAAATTAAAATAAAAAAATTCCCCCCACAAGAGTCACCTAAGAGGGTGAGGGGAATTCCCCCCATTTTCAAAAATGAAATTCAAGCCCTGAATGAATGTCTATAAAAATCTTGATTGGAGCATCACTATAAATAATTCTACATGATAAAAAGAAGGCTTCAAAAATATCGGTATCAGTGATCATATTGGCAGGGACCGCTTCCTGTGATCGATGATCGGTGATCGGCTTCAAAAATCCTGATAAGGTAGCACCCTTACAATAGTTATCAGAGATTCTAGATCACAGGAGTTTTACAGTAGAGTGTGTTTGACTGTCGTTGATACTGATTCATTATGAGCTGCTTTTTTGATGCCCTGGATCGTATGAGCTGTCATGCAGCTATTTCATATTTTAGCTAAAAATAGTTCAAGGCCCAGCTCTTGGTTGGGGAGGGACTGTGGCTAACATGATTTTAACCAAATCTCTCGCAGTATATTCCCTTGAGTGGCGTTCCAAGAGAGTTGATTTAGAGTACAACAGCACTGGCAATTTTCATTGTTTTGCTTGTCTGCTTTTCTGTGTTTCTGGCATTCCAAACAGGCTGTCGGTCTGTGTATTAGTGATGTGGATTTTTTTAATGGATCTTTCTTCAAGTTGCATCATTACACCAGTAAGTGACAATAAGTGATGAAGGCTTTGTTGGATTATGAGTGAGTCATTGAATTACTCACTCAAGTGATTTGTTTAAAACCACTGATTAATTTAGAAATGAATACCACTACTGTGTGCTGCTTGGAAATCCGCAGTTGATCCTGTTGTGTTTTTGTTTTAAACTGTTTTGTTTGTTTTGTTTTGTTTTTTAAGCAAAATGTCAAAGTAACTGCCAATACTATCTAAAATGTAAGTTACTCGATATTAACTTTCTTAATATTAGCTTACTCTGGAGTTTTTTTTTTTTGCCATACTATGCTGTGGTCATGTCACGTTGTAACATTATGACTGTTTGGCACATACCCCCATTATCTTTAGCCCTAAATAATATGGAAAATATGAGTTATTACTGTAATGCAAAATATATAAGTACTAGTAGTAGTAATAGTAGTTTTTAATTGTAAAGGTCATTTGTAAGGTACTGAATATGATTTTTGCTAGAAGAAATTTTGATTGGGTTTATTCTTTGCAAAAGAAAGCACTATGTACTTAGTTGTCATGAAAATTATTTTGCAATGTAAAAAAAATCTTAATAGTCCTTTATGCATTTTATTTTTCTTATGATTGTGTGGAATGCACTAATCAAGTCAGAGGTAACTAGGTAATTATAGGCATGATTGTTCCCTTTGTTTCCTCTGATCACTCCTCATATCACACAACTCCATAAATCCATTACCCCACCAGCATGATGTCATCAGTATGTGCCTCTCACCCGTGAGCCGATGAGCTGGCAACTGGAAAGTCATCAATAGCAGGTCCACGGCACAGGAAAATGACATCATAGATAAACGCAAGCTTGTGATTGGATAATTCACACCATTCAAGAATACACTGTCATGCGCAGTAAAGTCAAATAAGCAATTTTCTCAAATAAAGTATTTCGGTTCGCAATGAATATCAAGAAAAGGCCTTTATGTAGAGTAAAGAAGAAAAATCCAGGACCACTGCAGATTAAGTGTGTCTCCTTTTTTTCCCCACCAGCCTATTTGTAGCAGTTCTTGGCACAGTGAATTGCAGAGATTTTGCTGCTGCTTTTGGCAGGCAGACAGAAGCAGAACACCTGCCATCACTGTACAAGCACTTACACTTAACCTGAGCACCAAAATGAAAGATTCCACGCATGCATCGCTACCGCTGCTAGATGCGTGGCAGACAGATCAATGGGAGAGTGATGGAGAAATACATAGGGAAGTTAAGCAACAGAGCACATGCAGTCACTAATACAGCCTGGAGTCAGAGCCAGTTGTCATGGCAACCTTTCTAGGGGGAGGCGCCTTGGAAATGGGGAGAGATGAGGAGACAGGGTCAGGCTGTGACAAAGCAGCTCTAATGAAGTGTGCTCTGATTGGCTGGCTTTGCTGGTAGGCCCCGCCCTCCTGAGTGTGATACAACCTTGACTATAGCGGTACAGTTTCCTTGCGCAACACTGCTGGCATTTAGAGACACTGCATTTTTCCCTTCATCATCTCTTGTTCTCTGACCTTGTGTGTGTGTGTGTAGAATGTCTTGTGACTAGTTAGTGGCAGATCGGTAGATCGGGCTTCCAGGCTGCTGGGAGAATGGGTGGCCATTGGTGCATGTATGTGTGTGTGACCTCAGACGCCGGACGGGAGAGGCTGCAGCTCAAGACTGAAGAAAACTGAGCATGCAGAGGTTTGTGGAGGCTGATTACTACGAGCTGGACTGGTATTATGAAGAGTGCACTGACGGTAAGACCATGGTGGAAAAATCCTGTCGGCTGCCACTAAGGGGGAATAAGGGGGCGGAGGGGTGGGGAGAGTTACCCGTGGGAATTAAACACTTTCAGAAAGTTGGTGAGTAGTAAGGACTGCCATGGATGAGGCTGTGAAAGAACATTGAAATAAGATTTGGGCCGAGGCATGTGAATGACAGAGGTAGCGTGGAGAGTGACTATAGGTTTAGCTGGCCTCTCAGCTCTTGTGTTGCATCAGATTCAGCACCATTTCACCTCGGAGGGTAACTTTTTAAAATTTCTTGCATTAATAAGTCACAAACTTTATATAATGCATAAAAGATCAGAAGTTCATATAGTGAATATAAATATAATACCAAAAATATACAGTGGGGTCAAAGTCTAAAAAAAATCTATGTATTATTTTATATTCATTTTAATCATAAATAATAATTTATTATTAATAATAAATGTATTTATGCATTTATTTAATTAACATTTTTTTTCCCTCGAATTGAGTGAAAAGTTTAATTGAATGACGGCACCACTCAAGCTGACAAGAAATTTACAAATTTGTGTAAAACCTGATGATCATGTTATCCAAAATGATTTAAGAATCTTCCAGACAGCATCCTGTGGCAGGCCAAAAAAATTTTAAATGCTCTTTTTTTTTTTTATTCATTACATATTGTTCAAAATTTAAAATAATTTGTAATAGTCTTATGTCAGCATTTCTTGTTTTCATTTATTTAATGATGTATTAATTATTTATTTCTTATTTTAATTCATTTTAAAATGTATTATTATTATTATTATTATTAATCAGGTTTAATTTACATTTTAAATCCAAGATTTGCAATGTAGTCTCAGACTTCTGGACCCCCAAGTCATGACAGTTCTTAATATTCCAATGCATTGTATTATGAACTGCATTGTATTTGTCGTGAACTTAATAAAGTGTTACCCATAAGGCTTTTTACAAAGTGATGCCTATATTTCAGCAGAAGTGCCTAATAGCCATAAGTTTCATTCACTTGTCTCATAGTCTTAAAGCGGAGAGGCATAAAATTATGACTGTGTATTCAGGTTTAAATCACATTCATAACCCAGTTAGTTATATCTGAATATACATAGCCATGAAATCTCATTTGTCTGTTGTTCTTTCAAAAACGTTTTAATATATTTGTGCAAATCAATAAAATGATTGTGCACACACTGACATTTAGTCTCAATGCTACCTCTGAGATCAGCCATTGATGATGCACTCGTGTGTAGACATTATGAAGTCATGCACCCCGGCTGTTTCACAAGCAGCAGGTTATATCACAGCACTGCACTCTGATCTATGCCTGCTGGGATGGTTTCATAATCCTTCATAAAACTGCACTGTTTTGATCCCAGTCATTTACTGCAATGTTGTGTCGCCATGCAGCGTATTATGCAAGTTCAGGTGTCAAGTTATGCATATGCAATGTTTATTTAGTCATGCTTGGTCTATGATGAATAGCTAACTGTCTCAATTTTATCACATTACCAAAATTGGGGGAACGAATTAAAAAAAAAAACATCAGTGAGTCACAGAAGTGGATCATTTTAATAAAGTGTAAAGTTTAAAGACGGTAATAAACAACGCAGAGGTGTTAGATGGATGCGTACATGTTTTCAAACACACCGACTGTTGTTGGCTGTCAATCTTGCAGTCAATACAGAAATCTCTCAGGCTGAGACAATAGTGTGAAAGACTAGTCAGAGACATGTAAATATTGTATGTGTAATGGCTTACTGGCCTGATATGAATTAATGAGTTTCAACAGTCTATACTACATTAACCCCAAATGACTGATGTTATTTTGTAACAGAGTTCATCATAACACTTAGACATCCCATTATTAATAAAACCAAACCAAGCTATCAGTTACGGATCATTAGTGCAGAATATAAGCTCTGTTTGTGGATGAGTATGTGATAATATTATATGTTTGTGTTTAAAATGTACAGTTAACTATATACTATTTAGGACTGAAGTTTTTTTTTTGTTGACCCACATTCTGTGTTGTGGTTTGGGTCTCTATTCCTCTCACGCAGCATATTGATTACTTAAGTGGGGGGAGCAGAATTCAGCACACGCAAACACACACACACACACACACATTCTTTTTTTATTCCCATTCAACCTCTTTTGCATTTCCCACTCCCATTTTCACTTTCTCCTCCCCTCTCAAAGTTTTCTCAGCCCTTCACCTTATTCTTCACCATTTTCAGCCTGTCTTTTCTTGCTTTTCCATTTTGCCTCTTCAATGGAGCTAAAGCACAAAGGCTCAGCCATGGTTAAGTTCACACTAAAGAGAAACCCGCCTCCTTCACGGCCTCGGCCATTGTGGCATCGTCCAATTCCTGTCACGCTATTGTGTTTCCATAGGAATGAAGGCCCTCAACAAACCACATTTACAGGAAGGAGCGCTGCAGACTCAATTGCAATTATAAGCAATTTGCATTCTGTCAATGTAACGAGAAATGAGTGATAACAAAACAAACCCAGACATTATTAATGTGTGATACATGTGACGTTCTTAGACTAGGTGGAGTTGCACAAGTCTAGAAGTGTTGTTATCAAACACTGCATGTCTTCACACTCCATTTGTCAAGTTATTGAGTTAAAAGGGTAAAGTCTATTACCATATTACACTATAATGAACTACAATCAGAATCAAAAGAATCAGAATGAGCTTTATTGCCAGGTATGTTTACACATACGAGGAATTTGTTTTCATGACAGAAGCTTCCACAGTTCAACAGAATGACAGTGACAGGACAAAAACACAGATTAAAAATAAAAAAATAAATAAAAAAATAAAATAAAAAAATAGAACAAGTAAATAGGGAATAGCAATATACAAATTGACAATTGTATGTACAGGTATATTACAATAGACAGTTTTGTATGTACAGGTATATTATGTGCAAGTTCGAAATGTAAACTAAGTATGCGTGTTAGATAAATAAGTGTGTAAGTATATAAATAGTGTTGTGTGTTCCAGAGTTATTGTCAAGTGTTCATAAGATGGATTGTCTGAGGGAAGAAACCATTCCTGTGTCTGGTCGTTCTGGTGCTCAGTGCTCTGTAGCGTCGACCAGATGGCAACAGTTCAAAGAGGGAGTGTGCTGGATGTGAGGGGTCCAGAGTGATTCTCTTAGCCCTTTTGCTCACTCTGGATGAGTAAAGATCCTGACTGTATGTTGTAGTCTCTTGACATCTGATTTGGTAGCTGAACAGCTGCTGCCTGTCTGTCAGGAAGCTGGTGATCCACTGACAGACGGAGGTGGGCATGGAGAGCTGAGTTAATTTGGGCAGGAGGAGGTTTGGGATGATAGTGTTAAAAACCGAGCTGAAGTCCACAAACAGGATCCTCAGTCACATAAGTCCCTGGTCTGTCTAGATCAGTGTTTCCCAACCTTTTCTTAGTCGCGGCACCCTTTGGAAATGTTAACAAACTTGTGGCACCCTTGGCGGAGTAGAACTGTTTCAGCAGCTCCTGTGGCAGGTTGAACTTCCTCAGTTGGCGAAGGAAATACAACCTCTGCTGGGCCTTTTTAACAATGTGAGTGTCCCACTTCAAGTCCTGCGAGATAGTGGTGCCCAGGAACCTGAATGACTCCACTGTTGTTACAGTGCTGTTCATGATGGTGAGTGGGGGGAGTGCTGGGGGGTTTCTCCTGAAGTCCACGATCATCTCCACTGTTTTGAGCGTGTTGAGCTCCAGGTTGTTTAGACTGCACCAGATACTGTAAGCAGACTCAGCATCCTAAATGAGGCCGATGAGTGTGGTGTCGTCTGCAAACTTTAGGAGCTTGACAGAGGGGTCCTTTGAAGTGCAGTCGTTCGTGTAGAGGGAAAAGAGCAGTGGGGAGAGAACACAGCCCTGGGGAGCTCCAGTGCTGATTTTACGGGTGCTGGATGTGAATTTTCCCAGCCTCACTAGCTGCCTAGAAAGCTATTATTATCAGAACACGCGAGCATAACGGTTAGCAGATCAATGAATGAGAGAGCAGCGTTACCAGAGTTGCCCATATATACCACACCATGTTACAGCACAGTAGGGCTATTGCAGACAGAATAGCGGCACCCCGGTTGGGAAACACTGGTCTAGATGTTGCAGAACATAATGCAGTCCCATATTGACTGCATCATCCACAGACCTGTTTGCTCTGTAGGCA